CTTTTGAAATTAAAACTTTTAAACAGAGCAAGAAAATTTATTTGGTGTTTTGGTCCCTTTTGGGGGTTGTGTTTCTGGGTGCTGTCAACATCCTTATAGCTGAGCCCTCTCAGAGCTGAGCTGATTCAGCTTCTGTAATGGATAGGAGGAGTGCTGGCCGGCACCGGGTGACTAAGGGGTTAAACTCAGGTAGCTAGCAAGGGTGTTTGTCAGGGAACTGGGAGAACCAATTGAAATTGAGTTCTAGAATTTGAATTGTATAAGGTACTTTGCCTGCTTTCTTTGTGGGGGCGAGTTAAACCAGGAGTTAAGACACAGAATGATTTAAACTCAGGAGCTATGTCTACACTACAAGGTTTTTGCACAAGAACAGCTGTTTTTGTGCAAAAACCTGGGGATCATCCACACCTCAAATGAGCTCTTGCACAATTAAATGGGCAGTTAAATGGCACAACAGAGGGCTTTTTCCACCGTAGGTAAACCTTTTCTGAAGCATAACTGCTTTTAGTGCTACAGCTATTGCACAAGAAGGCAAGTGTGGACACTCCATAGGAGTTTTTGCACAACAGTTGGCTTCCAGGGAAAAAAAATGGTGGTCTTTGGGCCACTCCAGCCAACTCACTCAGAACTCTATTGTTCCTGTCTACTGGCACCCTTTAAAGCCGCAGGCACCCTGCACAAGCCTTGTAGCTGCAAGTTGGCAAGAAGCAGGATTCTTCAGGACGCCACTCTGCTGCAGCCACCAATGTCCTCAGAGGAAGCTCCCCGAGACTGCCTTGGCCCTTCAATGGACCAGCCACAGGGGTCACAGGACTCTTTGAGGGGGACCAAAAGGCGTGCCCCCACCTGGAGCAGGACAGAAATAAAAAACCCTGCTGGAATTGTGGAATGAGGACTGCGCCCTGCAGGACCCCCGGGCAAAGCACCGCAATGCCGTAATCTGCTCCCGCATGGCCGCATCCCTGGTGGAGCAAGGTGTAGCCAGACACAAAACCCCATCTTGTTTTTCCACGAGCCCCATCTTGTTCCCCCCCCCCCCAGGGAGAATCAGCCTTTGATGCCCTGGGAACGCAGGTGTGGTGCCTGTCCCTGACTCTACCATAAACAGAAACCAGACAGTAAATGGGCTAGCTGACGACCCGGGGCCTCCCGTCGCCCTGATGGCTAGTACCAGTAATTGACCCGCCTGCACTGTCCCAGGAGAGGAATCTTCGCCCATCACATACCAGAGGTGCCCATTGTCTGCATTTTCCCAGGTGTAAATTATGCTTTGCACCCTTCGTGGGAAACTTGGCGTTCAAAGCCATTTTTCCTAATTGGCCACTTGAGCCCAGGAAGAAGCCTACATGACCCAAGGGGTATAAAAAGAGGTTCAGCCGCCCACCCCATTTGAGCTCCAATCATCTATACCTGCTGGCAGGTATTGATTGTCTCCCGAGGTCTGTGGGACGCCCAACCTCGCCCTACTTCTTCCCGAGGGATTGAGAGAAAGACGCTGGCCACGCCAAGTCTGGAACGCAGGGGTGAGAATATATACCTGCTATGTGTCTATTTTGCATGCATTTAATAAGAGCTCAGAGAACCAAAGGGTTTCATGGTACCTGTAAGTGACTTATTAGTGTAATTTCTGTCCTGTCCTTTGTAGTGTCTGTGTTATCTGTAACACAGTAGTAGCATTTAACAGCTAAGTTTACCCTGTAACAATAAAATAGTAACTGTTTAAGCTTTAACCTGACTCCTTCAGTTGCTGTAACAGAACCAAGCACAATTTAAAAGAACTTCAGCCGGTCATAAGGGACTCACTGCCCTGACCGTCGGCTGACACAAGGTCACATTCAATAGCCTTGAAGTGTGAATATAAACCTTTAATTGCAGCATTTCACTGTACATACTCTGGCCAAACATGCACTCAGAAGTTTGAGGTTCATTCAATCCTTGATGTATTGAGGGTCACAAGTTTTATTATATAGTTCAGTGAGGCCATGACTTCAACTTCAGTACATACACTGGTGAGTCAGTTTTTAAATGTACACAAGTCAGAACACTTGAGGTCTTAAGAAATAGATTGATTACAAACCTTTTATTTGTAACAGTAAGGACCCCTTGCATCTATACATTGATGAACTACATTATGTTGTGCATGCACCACAATAATTAACGCATTAAAATCTTGCTTGAGTGTCAACAGGTACATGCCATCTTGTCAGTAGTTTCCACTAGCATTCTATCAGGCAGAGCAAGACACACAAAACTGAAAAGTTTTCCTGCCCAACAAGGGCAAACTATATAGTCATTAAGTCATAAGCACAATCTTAAGAAACAGACACTCGTTTCCCAACATACCTCTGTAACAGTAACTATGTAATGAAACTGGCAAGACAGGTAGGACTCTATAACCTGTATTTCTCTCCTCCTGCAATACCTGTGTTCCAGCATCCCCAAGGGTGCTCCTGGGCTGGAGGAAAAGCTGGGGGCCCTGCGTTCAGCAACTCCTCCTCCTCCCTCCCAGCGTGCAAATAGCTCATTTGCAGTTTTCAAGCTCAGGGGAGGGCGAGGAGCAGGGACATAGGGAGACACTCGGGGAAAAGGCAGAGGGGCTGCAGGAGAGCAGCCTGGTATCTGTGGAGTTGTGTGTGCAGTGGGGCCAGCAAATTCCTTGGATTAGGACCAGACAG